ATATATATATATATATATATATATATATATATATATATATATATATATATATATATATATATATATATATATATATATATATATATATATATATATATATATATATATATATATATATATATATATATATATATATATATATATATATATATATATATATATATATATATATATATATATATATATATATATATATATATATATATATATATATATATATATATATATATATATATATATATATATATATATATATATATATATATATATATAACATAATAGGCCCAAGCCAAACCTTAATTAATCTCTTGTAAATTGCACCTTTCATTTATTATCATTGTGATTTCCATGTATATAAATTAAGCAAGCATGCTGCTGAGTGCTAAGCAACTCAAGAACATTCAGAAAAATCCTACTTTTCTGTTTATTGTTTTTCACAAAAATATTACTTAAAGAGAATCCTACTTTTCTGTGTATTGTTTTTCACAAAAATATTACTTAAAGAGGACTTATGTTGCGAAAAAGAGCACCACCTATCGTATATAAGGGGAAAGAAACTTACGCGATTTCTACTATTTTAGTGAGGCCAAATACACGGGGGTCTGTTGGAGACTGTAACTCGGAGATGGAAACTTTGCAAAGAGCTTTCACAAATGCTACTATTGCTTCGCCGTTCAACCCTTGACTATGAGCAAAGACATGGTTCAATTCAAAGTTTCCAATTTGATCCAGTAGATTCAAGTTAGAGATGAAACTATTTATTTGTTCCGGTGTTACCAACGTAGAGGGTTTTCCCCCAACACTTGTACTATCATATGGACTCCCACGAACGATAGCCACCATGGCTGGATTCTGGAGAGTTCCTTTCTTGAAAGAAGAGAAAGCTAATGTTTTTGGTGTTCTTTCCTCTGTTTCAGAATTAGATGAAGTGAAGAAGGTTGCATCACTTGGAGCGCCCTCACCTAACAATTGCAAATGCTCAATTCGGGAGAGGCATGTTAATATGTGTTCCCATGCTTCTTGTAGATGATCACCATCTTCAATGGCAATTGATATTATTGCCTGTGGAAATTTAAGATGTAGAATATATAAGCAAGATTTATGCATCATATAAAATGAGTCACATGCATGATAAATGCAAAACAAAAAAAGAATGTAATAGCCACGTTATATCATCAAAAAGGATTTCAAATAGAAGCAACCCATTCATTACTTCTTTCTTATATAATTACAATATTGCTAGAATGAGATCAATATATGATTTACTAATCAAAAGCTCAAAACATCATTAAAATAACAGTGACAGTATGTATTTTGAGGTTTGATTTGTTGTTCCTATAGGCACTGTACGGATGGGGAAAAAAGTCATTATACATGTTGGAGAATAATTGGCTTGGAGAAGTTTCAGCAACAACCAAACAAGATTCATTCACCTTGACAGCATCAACATTTTTCTGTTTCATATCTCCAGCACAATGCAGATAAGTAAATTTGGCAACAGATGTAACAAAAGCATCCCTTTGAGTCTGCATGCCCATCACAGCAGTAATATGCACAGCATGTCGAAATCCCTGTAAGGATTGAGAAGTAGCTACCCTGTCATCACTCTGGTCAAGAGTTACACTGAATGCAGCCAGCATAGGACCCCAACATACTTCCACCATAAACCTCAGTATAGCCACGTCTGTGACAACATGATAAGCCGATCTGCAACAAGAGATAAATAGAATGTCTTACTAGGGAAACAAGTTGATATGTGTGAGTCACTTATTTCATAAATAATCTAGCGGATAGCTAAGAAGAAAAGATAATTCACAAATGGACAGGATGTACAATGCAGAGCCAATATACAATCACAAATATTCCCTCTGTAACAAGTTAAAAGGAAATTTTGGCTCATTAACTTGCAACAAAATATAAGTAAAAGTGGACTATTTTCTTCATATTTACTGATATTAACCTAAAAATTGGCCTTTAGTTAATTTTAATTAGAATAAACTAATTAATTGAAACAAGTTTTCATAAGATTAGTGCTTCTATGGGTAATTGAACAGTCATTGAAGAATAAAGGATAGTATTCATAGTCTCAGAATATGGATTGGACCTAACTCATCTTTCCAAAACCGGCTTGTAGGGTAAGGATTGCCCCCACTTATAAACACAACACAGGTCATGTCTCTAAGCAATGTGGGACTAAATCCACCCCTTCAGAGCCAACACAATGAAGGTGTTAGGGGCTGCAATGAAGACAAGCCAAAGTGCCGCAATTAAGGTGACTAGGGGCAGACCGCAATTAAGGCGAAAATTCCAACATACCCCCTCACGCTTGGGCCTCAATGAGCCCGAAGCATGGACGTTGAGAGAAGCCAAAGTGCCGTAATTAAGGCGACTAGGGGCGGACCGCAATTAAGGCGGAAATTCCAACACATAGTATTCAATATTTGATAGGATCCTAGTTTCCTTAGATAGATCATTCGATTTTAATTTCATCCTAATATTATGGGATTTTGATTACTTTGGCTCTTGTATACTTGTAAATCTCTTATGAATAGTATGAGAAAGAACCGAATTCAAATTGGCATCATGGCATTTCAAATTACGAGTAAGTTGGCTGATTGAAATTAGACTGAAGAGAGTACCCGGTACAAGCAATACTGAATTTAAAGATTAATATGGAGGAGGTAAGCATGACCCATCAATAAGGGTAACAGAATGAGGTATGTAAGGAGGAGATAAATTAGAAAAGAGAGAGGATTCCTAGCTAAGTTGGTGTTGTTAAATGACGATGTAAAGATAGCAGGAAAATTGGATTATATGCTTACGGTGTTCGTTCTTCGTTGACTGCGCAAAGGAATTGATTATGTTTGGAACCAGGCATTGGTGGTAGAGGATATCTTCATTGCTAAATGGTGTGGCTGAAAATAAGCATCACCATAATGCTGATAGAGCCTGGACACTATTGGTAAATGCTAAGGCAACTTTCAAATACTGGGGTAACGCAGTTCTAACTGCCTGTTATTTGATTGTCCGTATGCCATCTTTTGTCATGGGTAATAAAATTCCTCAATCCCTTTAGTTTCCTCAGGACCCCTTTATCTTCTCCTGGTTGTGACAAGTTGAAAGCTCGGGTGGTCAAGTGGATTGTCAATGAGATTTTACTGCTAAAGTTGGGTCTAATAGCCAGGTGGATCAATTGGAGGCTCAATTAGTAGCAAAAGGATATACTCGGATCTATGGATTAGATTATGATGATAATATATTATATATGTCGTCTTGCTAAAATGGTATAAGTTCACTTGTTTTTGTCTATGGTTGTAATTGGCCGTTGGCCTTTATACCAACTTGATATTAAGAATGCCTTTATACATGGTGATTTAGAGGAGAAAATTTATATGGAGCAACCACCTAGCTTTGTTGCTCGAAGGGAGCTGGGTCTGGATTTCAAGTTACAACAATCGTTGTATGGGCTGAAACAATTACCTTGAGCTTGGTTTGGGAAGAATAGTAGAGTTATCTTTCAATTTGGCATGATTCGTTGTGAAGTACATTGTTATTACATGTGATGATGAAGAAGGCATTAAACAACAGAAGCAACACTAGTTTAGACATTTTAAGATCAAAGATTTGCAATATTTTATTGGAATTAGTTGCTCAATCAAAAACAAGTATTGTCATTTCTTCAGAGGAAATATGTTAACATTTTGAAGAAAAGAGGGAGGCTTGGCTGTAAGTCTGTCAACCCTCTTATGGACCCGCGTGTTAAGCTTATACCTAATGAGGAGCAGCCCTATCCAGACCCCGACCAGTATCTAAGATTAGTTGGGAAGTTAAACTGACCCACTATGAGCATACCAAAACATTTAGTTTGTTTCTCAATTCATCGTGTTAGTCTTTGAAATGCAATAGTTCGGATCCTAAGATACATCGAAGGACGACTACGAAAAGGGCTTCTTTATATGGACGGCCACACTTATATCTTGGATATTCTAATGCAGGGTCAAGCACCGAAGCAGAGTACAGTGTTATGGCTAATGCAACTTGCGAACTTGTATGGTTAAGGAATTTACTTCAGGAGCTTAAGTTTTTGTGAGATAGGTCGTATGGAATTTGCTTGTGACAACCTAACAGCTTTCCACTTCTCGTCAAATCCAATCTTTTATGAGAAACTCAACACGTAGAGGTTGATTGTCATTTTATTTGGGAGAAGATTCTATCGAGCGTCATCAATATTTCCTCTATGGGATCCTAGGATTGCTTACATATGTAACGAGCTTGATGCATATGACGTATATGTTCCAGCTAGTGACATATATATTCCAGCTAGTGACATGTATTTTCCAGCTTGAGGGAGAGTACTGATAATATTTATTATTTGATTTATTCGATAGGATATCCTAGTTTCCGTAGATAGCTCATTATGTTTTAATTGTATCCTAATATTATGTGATTAATTAGCCTCTTGTATATATACTTGTAAATCTCATATGAATAATATAAGAAAATATCAGATTTCAATAAAAAATTGGCTGGTCTTGAATAAGTTTAGCAAATTCAACCGGCACCAAGTTTAAGTTCAGCAAACAAAATTGTGAAAGTAAACTATAACATGAACAAAGAGTTTTAAAAACTGCGCCAAAAACCTTAGTTGAAATGAAAGGCAGAGGAAGATAAGAAGTCCAAAAAAAATTCTGTTGAAAATTTAGAAGGAAGATGCTTTCTTGATAGTAAATACTTAAAGGTGAGAACGTGAAAAAAATTGGATTTTCATATTAAATGTCCAATTTTTTTATGAAATTAAAAAAATGAAGGGTAATTTAGGTAATAAAGTTGAATTTTTAAAAAGTTTAATTGAGGTAAATGAGAATAACTAATTATCTTAATGTGTGTGAAGTAGTTGATTTTTCTAATAATTTGTTGCGGAGAGTATACATAAACAACTAGTCAGCAACAATATCATTTCGTTAATCATCTCTGCAGATATATCACTATAACTTTCTTAAGCCTCCCAAAACCCTCATACACTCACGACCAAGACCCTTTTGCTAGGTTATCAGGCTCTCCAACTTATTTCAAAGCATGTCGCCAACTTTAGTAGGTGATAAGAATAGACGGCTTATCACATTTCTTTGTACAAGTGTTGGCTATTAGAAAAATTAAAGTTAAAGCAACATCAACAAAAGTTGTATACTTACTTCCCAAGATCTAATCCCCATGCAAACCCCCAGTATTCTATAAATACTCTCTCCCAAAGACCACTAAGATCTCCTAGGAGAATCTTTTTCTTAAAATGGTATTCCCTGACCTAAACCTTACGAATTCTCCCAAAGTATGTGTTCAATAAAAGACATCTGGTGAAAGATTCAAGGTAGCATAGTTAAGTGAAAATCTATATAAATCAAACAAACAGCATGCATTCTATACGGAAAAAGGGTTTATCAGGTATAGCCTTGCAACTGAAAAATTCCACAAAAACAATCCAAACATTGAGTAATGTTGAATATCTTAGCTTACTCTGATTTTCGTGAATTTGATTTGAACTGCTCCTGAATATGCCGAATGAGAAGCCCATTTGCACCCACTGCTTTTTCCTCATTTTGCTTCCAGTTCACAAGATTGAGTATTCCATCCAATCCCAGCAATCTATTAAAGCTATTTTCTTGCCTACCCTGAGGTGCAGAAGAATCAGCCTTCATCTTAATTTCGTTTCTAACAATTTTATCATAAAGGGCCCCAAGATATTCCTCTGGTAAATCCTTTCCATCATCAATTCCTCGGTTGTTTCGGATAAAATCAGCCTTTGTCATCTGAAAAGCCATCAACACAGAATGTGCACAAAATCCCGGTCAAACCCATATCCAACACCTTAGAATCACGAAACAATATATGCTGAATTTGTACTGTCAATTGTAGAAGAATTACAATAGTATTTTGTCAAAATCAATTACAAAAGTTTTTAACACATGATAGCTCATCATGATCACTGAGATTCCTTAACACAAATGATGTAATTTATCATTATTTATTACCTTAGAATCACAAAATAATATATCCTGAATTTGCAATGTCAATTGTGTAAAAGAATTAAAATAATATTTTGTCAAAATCAATTACAAAAGTTTATAACACGTGCTAGCTCGTCATGATCCCTGAGATTCCTTAACACAAATGATGTAATTATTTATCACCTAGTTAAGAAGATAAAAGAAATAGAAAGAGCAAACAATTTATATTTTAAAGATTATTGAAAATACTGAATTGCATTGTCTGTTGGATAGTTCTGCATGGTACAAAACATATTTTATAATTTTCATCGGTCAAATAATTTGGAAAAGAATGCTCAGAGTGAGCATGTCACATAGCATACTCAAACCAATGAGCCTTAGACATGAATATTGAAGATTTATTTAGGGCAAACCTTATCTTTCACCATATTATTATGAGCGTCTGTATTAAGCATTATTACAGAGTAAGCAAGAACGTAGGCTGTATCTGCACTGCTGAAAGAACTAGGGCTGCATTTACAAAAGCGCTCAGCAAACTTCTCCATAATGCGATCAATTTTCTGTGCCTCACCAGGTAACCTAAAGCCCTGAAGAAAAAAACGTATAGCTTCACCAAAGTCCATCCCTTTGAAGTTAAAGGAATCTACATAAGCATGCATAACTTTCAGAGAAAAATCCTCCCTTTCCCCCAAATAGTCACCAATCTTGCCCTCGTCAAGGCCACCAGTATTCTTAAGGAACAGAGCCACGCCTTCTGGAGAACTACCAATTTTTTTGTTGCTTATCAAGAATTCAATACCCTTGGAAGGTTTTCTGTTAAAAAGTGATATACCTTTCTGCATTTAACCCAGAAATGCATCAGCACAGAATATGGAAATATGAAGCTAAGGAAGATGAAATTATGCATGAATTGAACCCATTATTGGAGCATGAGGGGAGATGAAAAATAATTACAGACACAACACAGATAAGTCTTTCGTGTAAAATGAAGTCATCATTTCTCAAATGCTATGTATATATGATATTTAGCAATATGACAATATAACAAGTTGCCATCGGCAAAAGGAAGATAATAACAACCTGAAGCTCAGCTTTATATAACCGACGCTGCTCTAATGTGGCGGCATCTGAAAATTCAGAATTTACATCGGGGTGTAGCTCAAGATCAGAAACATTTCCGTCTTCTCCATTCAGAGTTAGCGGACTCTCTCCTACGCTGGAGCTTTCAGGGCTCTTTACAAGATCCAAGTCTCCCGGCCTTATCTGCTGGTCCATCCAAGCTCCCATTGACTTAATGATGCTGACCAAGCAATTCACAGATTCATGTCGGAAAGTAATATCTTGAGCTGGAGACAAAGATGTGGTCGACCCCGTAGGTGGTCCCAAAGCAGTTTTTAGAAGACCATTGACTATCCTGCAAATATCTAAGGAATTATAAGTGTTTAAATACTAAAACATGATGCATAAATCAAACATAAATAAATAAAGGAAATATGAACTTTGGTGAAGTTGTATTGGAGCCCCATGTTGTCCAGGTTCCTGAATATGGCGAGTTAACTGCTGCCAACACTGTTTGTAGGCTAAAAGAGGTACAATATGGGCTAAAAAAGGTATTATATAGGCCAAAACAATCACCATGAGTGCGGTTTGGAAGATCCACAAAAGTTGTGGTAAGTTTAGGCTTCAGACAAAGCCAAAGAGACCACTCTATTTATCAAACACTCTAAATCAAGGAGAGTAACGGTGTTATTGGTGCATGTGGACATTGCCAAGAGATAACAACAGCAAAATATTACAAAAGCGTGATACCTTTCAAATATGTTTGAAGCATCCACATCACAATCATAATTGACAAAAATGTCAATAATAATCTGAGGATCTTGGGATAATTTGTCCAATAAGTTCAGGACAGTCATTTTCTGCAGAAAACTGGGCTGAAGCACATTCTCAAGTACTCGGAGGATAAGCATGGGAAAAAACATGCCGATTTCTTTTTTCAAGCATGATCTATATTTTGATAACAAGTTCGTGAAAATGGAACACTGAAGCTGAAAAATGGCCATTGCTGAAAGAGCGCTGTTCTTTAATAATGACAAGCAAAGATACTGCTTGATGCCATTGAGAAACCTGCACTATGTAAAAGAAAATATAGATGACATAAATATTGATTATCAATTATATAGAAAAAAGAAAGATCTTGGGGGAAATAACCCATTTTTGTTTGTGAAATAGATTATCAATTATATAAAAAAAGAAAGATCTTGGGGGAAATAACCCATTTTTGTTTGTGAAATAGATATATTCTAACACTCGGGATAAAATAGAAACAGAAACTTCAAGATTCAACAAGTAGTGAAAGATACAAACTGTAGCAAGGCTGTACAGTCTCTCTTTATATAACAAATTGCAAGTCCTTTAAACTATGTTTGGGAGTTTGGAGGAGAGGAGAGGAGAGGGAAGGGCTTTAGGGGAGGGGAGGAGGGCAAAATAGAGAGAAACCTTATACTTTATTTGATAGTGATTTTGTAAAGAATGATAAATAAATACTTATGATTAATATATTTTTTAATGAGTATTATAATGAAATAAATTGAATTTAAAGAATTTATCTAAGTCGTACTAAACCCCCCAAAATCTTCCTCCAATACATTTTTTTAGTTCCACCAAATTAGATAATTTTGCATTATGAAGAAAAATAAACTCTCCATTCCTTCCACATCCTCCTTCCTTATTTTAAAGTTCTCCCCTCATAAACTCTCAAACAAACCCTAAGTACAAACATGTGCAGTAACAAGTTTACAAACGAAGAGATTTTTTAAGACATATGAGTATTCCACTTTGACCAAACACACCAAGAGACTGCATATATAACTTTTCAACCAAACACACCAAGGGACTACATATATAACATTTTCAACCAAACGCTATTGTCTATTTTTAGTTTTTTACCAAAAAACCAAACTCGTTCCAAAGTAAAGGACATACCAAGCACTCTCCAGGAACCTCAAAAAGATTGTTCCAAAGAAAAGTAGTGACCTTATAATTAAAGAGATATGGATCTGCATTCTGCAGCAAATCAATTGTCTTAACTAACCCTGTTAACATGGAGGTTTTGTACACATAAAAATGACCTTGAAACTTTCAGATAGGTCTGTTGGGAAGGTTTACAACAAAACATTGCAAAAAAATCGAAAGTTCAAACACAATTGGTCGAAATATACTAGTACCTCTATCAACTATCAACAAAAATGAAAGTCCAGATTCTTAAACAAAACAAAAAAAAAAAGAATAGAACTTTGAGTCCAGAATGTCTGAGTCATTCCTATAGATTCAACAATTAGTTATTGGCTTGCAAGTGAAGAGTAAGATAGTACTTGCCTGTCATTGACGCGCCATATGGAGCCGCCATTATCCATGACAACCTTAAGGAGCTCCAAGGACAAAATTTTGCCTCTCAAGAGGATCCGATCATCAGGGTGCTGTTGAGATGAGAATTTCATGGACAATTTGCACAAATTTTTAAAAAGAAGAAAACCATCCTCCCTTATTTTACTTCCATCAGGTCCAGGTTCAGTGTCTGTAGAGGTTTCATCTACTTGGTTGGGCAAGGGTTGGGTGGGTTTGGGGGGCAAGGGTGGGGTGGGTTTGGATATTTGGAGAGAAGATGGTTTGAGAGGAACACCCTGAGTAGCCTCGATGACCTCATTGATCAAATTTTGGCAAAATTGTATGGAATTACCCTCGTTCAAATTCTTATCTGTGAATTCTAAGAGTTCAGTAACAGAAACCTTTTTAATGGAGACATCCATGGAGTCCTCCTCGACTCTGGCGAAAACAATAGTGATGATCTGGGCAAGAACAGACTTGGCACAGATCTGATTAGTTCCGTTTACCCCGCCTAGGTAGACATTATAACAAGTTCTAACAACCTGAACCAAAGAATCTCCCCGGATGAGAATGCAGGGGGATCTTACAGCAGAAAGCAGGACTCGGAGCACGGCCAACTCGACGGCCTCCTCGCCAAGGCCACTGGACTTACAGATGGCATCAATAATATTGAAAACAACTGGTTGCGAATTATCGATCTCGCCGCAGAGAAGACCAAGAGAGAGGAGTTTAAAGGTGCATTCAAGAGCAGGCTCAACAACCTTAGCGTAAGCAGAGTCAAGGGCGAGATATAGAGGTTGAAGGACATATTCTGCATCTGAGGAGGAGAGACCTAAAAGAGGGGATTTGGGATCGCATTGAGAATCGGAGATGGATTCAAGTTTGTCGAGGGTGGATTTGCAGGAGGAGACAAGCTGAGAGTGCTTACGCCACGCGGCATTCTTAATGATCTTGTCAAGTGATGGACCAAGGACTCTTCCACATCTCGAAGAACCTCCCAGGGATTGCGATGCGGACATTTCTTTCAACGATGAAGATGAAGATTATAGATTGGAAATGGATCATATAATAATATAATTAATTCACTGATCTGTGTCTGTGATGAACGCGACCCTGCCAATTCAGCTGCCTCGAGATTACGATTACGATTTCGATTTCAATTTCAATTAAGCGAGCTGCGTTCATGGAGCAGAATCAAAGCATTGCTCCGCCATTAGGCTCTTTGGTCTACGCTTCTGCGTAGATAAATCCATGGGAAATGAAGTCATGTCTCCCACATGGCAAACGGGTCCGTATGCTTTGGGTATTCCAATTAATCCGACCCACTCATAAAAATCATTTTCTAAATTACCTATTTCTCTCTTCTACCAACTTCCTTTTAGTCTTCTTTTCTTTATCTACTTTAATATATAAAAAATAATTACTACCATTATTACAAATTTAACCATTTAAAACTAATTTCATTATTAAAATTAAGGGTAATTTGGTCATTATCGATAAGTTGATTTTTTAATTAAATATCATCTAAAACTTTGAAAAAATTTAATCATTATATAACTTTTAATAATACTATTCTATATAGAAAATATATATTTAGAGAAACTAACGTATCTTTGCAATTTTCAAAAAAAAATTAACTCTTAATTAGTTTTCTTTAATTAATTTTTTGACTGTTAATTACATGATTATAGGCCGAATGTAGGGCTGTGCAAAAAAACTAGTTTACACGAATCAATTTTAAAAATTCAGTGTACCAATTTTTATAATCCAATTTGTGTTGGATGTGAACCGCTACAAATCTATTTTGATATCAAAACAAAAATCTGGTTACCATTTTTGATAACTAGTTGTCATACATAAAACCAAATATATATGATATTATTATTAATGAATAAGATATTATTAAGCCACAAGAAATTCAAATTCGTGTAAACCAATTTATATAATATTCAAATTGAAAATGAAAAACTAGTTTATATATTTTATTTTATTTATTATTAATTAGTTAATTAGAGTGGTGATTAGTTAAGAGAAGAAAAACTTATTAAATTAATTGTAATGAACGATTGTTAATCTGTGTTTTTTTGTTTAACTGTTATAGTGTAGCAATTGTTTTGAAGCAGATTTTGTCTTGATTTTAGGATGTTTTGTTTTAGTTTTTTTGAGTTCTAGTTTTAGTGTTCTGATGCAACTTTATCATAGATTAAAGTGTAATGTTTTTACTCTTAAATTGAATTTTACTTTTTTACTTTTCAAAAAAATTGTGAAAAACGATTTGTGCTTGTGTTTGAATATAATAGTATAAAAATGACACATGCATTTGCATCTTGTTCCCTTTATTAACCTGAAGTTTTTTCGTCTCTTCAAATTAAGAAAGATACAATTTCCTTATAAATCAATTTTGATTGAAAACCGGTTTAAACCGATGTTGAACCAAATTGAAACCATTTTGCAATTTTAAATTAGTTATTATAAAAAATGGTTTAGTTTTAAAACTACAACCATTAAAATGGATTGGTTCTTAAAATATGGTAACCATGCACACCCCTAGCTGAACGTTATCATTGTGTATGTTTCCAATGTCCCTAAATGATTCTTAGTGAAGCATGCATTTAAAACGTTTCATTTAAAAAATCTTCATTATAATCACATATCTCTTTTCCATTATCTAACCAACATTCTTCTCTCTTCCATATCCAAATTTATTTCCTAAAAGTGACTATCCGGATATTTAAAGGTTTGTCTTTCATTTCCCCTTTCAATCTTCTTCATATTTCATGCGTTGTTTTTCTTCTCATTAGCCATCGGAAATATGCTTTTACAAATTGAAGTTTTTCCTTATCCATTCTGTTTTTTCTTTCATTCTTTCATGATGCTTAATCTTCTTCGTCAGATTTTGATTTGGGGTGAATCTTCTTTATGGTTAATTTTATTCGTCATTCTTATTTGATATTGTTGATTTTTTACTTGTCGTCGAAATTCGACATTGTTGATTGGGTGTTTGTGTGGGATTAGATTTGGTTGAAAAGCGAGAAGACAAGTGGAATTTGAGAAGTGTGAAGTTACAGTCATGCCCGTGCCTATCGTTGCTGCTATGACACTATTTCTCTTCTTCTTCTCCAATTGGTTTTGGGTTAGGGTACTGAATTCTGGAAATAATTTTTACTTTTCAAAATTTTAATATTTCTTGGTCTTAAATAATTTATTTTTAAAGTATAAATGTATTATTTATTTATATTTTTTATTGCTTTGAAGGAGGGCTATAGGCCCGAAAAAGATAGGTGGTTCTGAGAACCAAGTGTTGTAGCTACTGAATCAAAAAGAGTGTGGTGGTCGCACAAAGTTATTAAGTGAGGATGTGTCACCAGAGTAAGAAGGATACATTATCGGAATGCTCAATCATGATGTTTAATATTTTTGTTGTTGTGTTATTATTGTATATGATGAAGGTTGGAAGGTGGATATTGAATCACAAAATAATTTTGTTTCTGATTTATAATGGTGTTTTTTTGGTTTTTCTATGTTCGTTGTTTATGAGTTATGTAACACTTCAATTCTATCCGATAATATATATAAATCAGAGTTATAAAAATTCTACAACTGAATCAGAATGTCACAAATTCAACTTAAAACAACGACATTCATTACCGATACATAACACATTAAATTTGGATGAACCAACAACAAACATAATTTCATCTTAAAAAGAAACAGTAACTTCCATAACTACGCAGCGGAGTCATAATATTCAATTTAAAGGAACGTAACATCTTTGTCCAATTAAGACAACCTCAAATGACAATCATTTAAAGAACAGCAACTTAAAGTTCAATCAACTGAAATAATAACAACAAATAAACAACAAGCGTTCACCCCCCAAGTGTTACGTATCAGAGCAATGACACCGGCTCAAACTACTGAAGGTAAACCGCCTTCACTCTGGATTATATGCACATTACCAACATCGGGGTAACATTCAAACAGAATGGGTGAGATATCGAACATTATAATAGAACGCATGATAAGTAAAACATGAGAATCAATTCATACATATTCACCACTTCTCAGATCTTTAGCAACATAAAACGCAATTAAAATCAATCACACAACAACTCGGAATGCAACGCATAATGAAACTCATCTTTATGCAAATGCATGTGGTACCAATGGAGCAGAACTCCCATCATAAAAATCTACCAATAAATAGAGGCATCAACAAGGCATAAGCCTTCTTTGCAGTTTGCCAATCCAGGCCATCAGAGTATCCAAATGTATATGAATGCACTATCACATACCCACAACAGTCATCATCCATCATAAGGCATAAGCTCACATCATCATTATTACCAATAAATAGAGGTAATTCATCATCATTTAAAACTCCCTGCAACTTTGCATTATCAACAAGAATTCACAACAGCAATCACAACAACACAGTAACTCAACATAAATTGACATTGACCATAAGCCTATCACATTAATCAATGATTCAATCATTAACATAATAAAACAACAACTTAACCATAACTCGCACAACGCAGTTAACGACCAAAAACACAACATGTACGGGCAAAAAGGGATAGGGAACTACGTGCCCCTCGACATGCATAGCAACTAGGACAGCCTAACAACTAATCCATACTCCTCGACGCGCATAGGGGAAAACAGGATAACGACCCACTTATGCCCCTCGTCATGTCCTGCAACCTAGTACTGCTCGACAATCCAACACATACCCCTGACACGCCTCACAGCCTAATATGCCGCTCGATACCTAACACCATCAACAACCTCCTCGACCACTAGTTCGACCAACAGCACAGACACGCTACTACGTCTTAACGATCACACCACTACCATTCATAACTTTCGGCCAACCGCTCGGAATAACACAACAACGGGAAACTATATTTCCTATAACATGTTCATCAAACATACAAGACATTCACGCTGAAACCTCCCTAAAACGACCACTTCAACAACTTACTACTTTTCCTACCAACCACTCAGAATAACATATCATCCTAACGACCATTACGACCAGTAATCAGTATCCTAACCTATCCATCGATTAAACTGGAAGTCACACAGATACACAAAACATCCACAACACACAACCGAGAAACTTCATATAACATGTTCATTAAACGGTCATACAGTACTCCCCAACGGCCACAACATGAATAAATGGACAACTTCACTAGCAGATCAGAAACATCAACGCACAACAATCATAAAATGATAAATTCCTACGTAATACACATCACAAGTCCCACTATAAGGTCAGAACCTCACCCTTACCTGGATTGAAGGTCGCTCAACCAAAGCTCCGACCAAAATCCTTATTTTGCTCTGCTCGACACCGGACAACTTGCTCCTCTTCCGCACGGCTCTTCCGGTCAACATACAAAGCTTCTTAAACACCAACTAAAACAATTTGTTGTGTCAGCTTAGCCTTATATATCAATTCTATTGGGCCTAACCTACACATCCCCACTTTACTACTTGCAACCAATAGCATAAGTCCAACATTATATAAATATTCCCTTAATTCCAACATTATAATTATTATTAATCAACTAATTAATTAATTAATAATAACCCAACAACCCATACCCATAATTCTTAACATCTCGCAACTTCACAAATAATCCAAAAATAATTTAATTAAATAAATAATTAAATTAAATTACGGGCGTTACAACTCTCCCCGCTTAGAATATTTTCGTCCTCGAAAATTTACCGTAATCGAACAACTCAAGATAGGAGTCTCGCATCTTGCTTTCCAACTCCCAAGTCATGCTTTCTCTAGCAGCTCCTAACCAGACTACTTTCACCAAAGCAATCTCCTTGCCTCTTAGAGTCTTCATTTCACGATCCGCGATTCGTACATGCATCATCTCCACAATAAGATTATCCCGTACTTGCACATAATCCATATGGATTACATGAGATAGATCTGAAATATACTTTCAGAGTTGTGACACATGAAACACATCATGCAAATTCGAAAGATTAG